CAAATGATTAACAGTTTAAACACTATTAAATGTCTAACTTCTCCCACCAAGACAGCTCAAATATAGCAGTATCATTCTAGGTCTTTCTGGGAAGTAAAGGTAGACCCTTGACATTCCTCCTATAGGCCTGGATTTGAAAAAGAAGTACTGGATCCAAATGGTAGGACTAGTACCTGGAATATGATGTGATATTCATAAATAAAACATAATAAAAGACACATTTTTACATAATCAAGAACCATTTCACTACCATAAAACAGTAAGGCAAGGGAGGATTCTGTAATGTGGAGCAGTATACATTCTCCTTCCCCTTAGAAGTCAAGGCTGTTCACTCATAGTGGTATGAAGGACTGTAGTGTTCTCATGGCAGCATGGAGGACTACTATTTTTACTGCCACCAGAAATTACAGGAGGATTATTACTTTGTATCCTACCAGCATATTTTTGGAAAAAGTAAATGTAAAATAAACATTCAGGGTTGATGCCAACCTTTTGTGCTAGCTAGCGTCTTTGGGATCTGGAGAAAACATCAGTTTTTGAAATCATTATGGAAGGTAGAGAAGATCCTTCTAGAATAGCCATAGCATGGCACCTTCCACCTCAGAGGACTATTGACCTGTTTTTGGGAATAGGGATCACCTACCATGGTTCCCTTGAGAAATCATGCCTTGGCGGGCTTCAGTTAACACTTATTTTGGTGAACGTCGTCTAGTTTATATGAGAACTTTAGTTCTTTTAATTTACAGTTGTCCCATATTTCTGTCCCAAAATACTTTTAAATACTTGGTCACTTACTACACTGTTCAGACTTAATTGAACAGACTTTTTGTTTCTAAAATCATCTTTCAGGCATAAAAGATTTATAACCGACTACCGAAGATATTCAACTCTGTTCAATTGTCTGAAAATACTTCTTTAGAAGGAGTTTCTGAAGAGTTTGTGTCATTACAATAGTATTGGAATGAATGACCTTTGAGGATTCCTTTTGATGGAAATATATTTCTTAGATCCAAGTGTTCAAGCATCTTTGTTTAAAAACAAATGAAACAAAATAGCCTCATTATTTAGTTTTTTTAACCTCAAAAATACAATGTAGTGACATTGTTTCTTTTTAGAGGTTTTCGTAGTTATCCAGACTAGAGAAAATAATATTTTCTGGATGTACATAGCAGATGAAATGAAAATAGTCTCCCCCCCAAAATCTTGATTTATACATAATAAATGTTCTATATCTTTTTTAAAATGTAGGTTTTATGTTTTGGTTTCTAATTATTTGAGTTACATAGTCATTTTGTTAGGTGAAAGGTAGAATATTATGTGGACTCTTCTTTAACTAATATGGTGGCGGACCAGAGTTGGCTCTGTTCTGAACAGTTCATTTTATTATTATTATTATTTTGTCTCAATAGAAAGAACAATAAAATGTAGATCTGAGTAGACAATTACATCTGTAGCTCCAAGCATCAGTTTCTCTTCCATTGAATTTAAATATTACACAGACACACAAAGAAGATAAAAACAAAGCTGAGCCCGGTGAGGGGTTGGCGATGAAGTCTCACCGGCACTGTGTACTGTTTCTGTCCCTCAGGTGGTCCCTGATGCTGTCATTAGCACCATTTGAAAACAAGTGAATTAGAGGATTGACGTTCTCTTCCATCACTACAGGACTGATTTTTTTTTTAAAGTATTATTTTTGTTAATAGGGTATTGTGCAAAGTCAAAGGAAAACTACAGATCATGCTGCCAGAAGAAAATCAACTCAAAACTGATTGTTAGTTTTTTTTCCCCCTTTAATTAAAAGTAAACACAACACACATTACTGTAAAAGCTAGACAGAAAAATGAATAACTCATCAATTGAGAATTGCAACATTTTCCAGTAATATTTCCTTTGAAGTATGTTAACAGTTTTACTTTGGAAACAACAAAGCTATTCTGAAAAAGGTACTTTGAAAGTCTATGAAATGTTTTCTGTAGTTTATTTTTCATTACATTACTATTTGTTGAGAAGTGTGGTTGAGGTAGTTAAGACTTTATGTAACACCAGCCCCATAGTATAGTGGTTAAGCCCTGTGCATAAGGAGATCCCACATGGTTGATCATGGTTTAAATTCCAGCGATGGAGGCTTGAAAAACATGCTGGGCACTTATGTGTACATGCCCAAAATCCTGGCAGGAAGGAGGAATGGAGGAAGAAGCACTGTAGCATGACCAGACTCAGTTGTGGGGATGCTTTCTCTCTCTCTTTCTCTCTCACTGGCTAGCGCCCTCTGGGGGAAGGGAGGAGGAAACTCAAAGTAGATGTTAATAAAAGTTTAAAAAGCCTTCATCTGTATCTATTGCCTATGGGACAAAGGACAAAGTAGACTGAAAAAAAAAAGAGAGAAAAGAAAAATTTGCCAGTCTTCTTGCTTTATATATTGGGTCATCAGAAAAGTCATGACATATTTTTCTGTATTTTTCTATGCAAAAGTGCATCATGACTTTTCAGATGGCCCAATAGTTATTTACTACTAGAGGAGAAAAAACCTTTAGGTGATAAAAACACTTATTTTATTCATAAGGCTAACTTTAGTGTAGAAATTAAGTCCTTCAAGTATTCTACAAAAGTTATTTTAGCATTAGCATTTGAGAATAATTTTTCTGTAAGTTAAAAATAATTATCATTATAGCCTGTTTGGAAAAAGGTACTTTCATAATTATTTTACAATGTAATTTTGCTTCTCAAAGACAGCAGGAGGAAATGCAAATGAATGATAGAAATTAGGCATCTTCCCCTTAATTTCTGTTCTGTTTACCCTATACAGCAGACAATTACTGCAGAAAAAATTTCTCTGTAACTTTCAGGTATTAATGAATCCTGATTTGAGATCTCTAATGGCCTTTGGGTATTTCAGCAAAAAAGAATGGAAAACTATTGAAAACTAATTGAAAACTGACTTTTACAAGAGAAATTTCTTGAATAAAATGTAATCTCCACAGGTTAAATATTTTTGCTCACTGTATTAATTGCTTTATTTCTAGCACTACAACAGGGCTTAGAACATAGTAATTATATGATACATGTTTGTTGAATGAATGAATGAAGGAAGGAATGAGATCTGCATGTTTTGGTAAAATGCATAACATGAACCTTTAAATGTCTGTTACTTACCTTTTTTTCTCAGGTAATAAAATTGCATGGTCAATCAGTAACTATAACACTGAGAGTTGCTATTTTTGCTCTGCATGTGCTTGTTTGAGAGTTAAGGTACTGATGCCACATCTTGTTTTAATATACTAGATTGGCTAAATGCTTGACCAACATCCCATCTGATGTACAAGGGTAGCTGTTACTTACATTTTGGAAATAAGGTATAGTTATGGTCCAAAATTTACCTGCCAGGGTAAAGGCATAGCAGAGGATTCTGTTTAGGTGTGAACCTACTGGTTCACATGCACTACACAAAGTTTTGATACAAACCCAGTTATAAATTAGTCTGAAAGAAAAAATTTCAGTTCTATAGGTATAGTAAGGTGTGCTTTGAACATGACCTAGATACTTGAATAATGAGCTTCCGAAACCTCATAGTACTTATTAATACCCTTTGATTCTTTACTACATCCTTCAGTCTGTGATATATAGAGTGAATTCTGCAGTCCAGTGCACTTACATTATTGTATCTGAGCTCACTGGCTGGGGTCTGGGAAGTATCTGCCATAGGACAGACATATACCATGGCATTTTATATTATTAGAAGCAGTTTACAATTACAGGAGGAGACTGTGTGTTTTGAAGGAAGATATATCTTCTTCTTTTTTTTTTTTTTTAAAGAAGTTTTTGCCATAGAGTGTGTATGCTTGCCATCTCTTCTCTTCCATTTTCCTCTTGGGATTTTGGGCATGCACACACACACACACGCCTGGCATGATTTCTATCTTCCAGGTTAGGACTCAAACTGTACTTGGTCATGAAGGAATCAAACACCTTAACAACCATACTGCTTGCTGGCCCAAGATTTGTGTTCTTAAGCACACTAAACTGGCTTTTGCCATTTAACCATTTTTGAAAAAAAATTTAAGAATTTTTTAGGTTTTTTTTAAAGCGTTAATTAATTTTATTAATTATTATTATTGTTATTCAATTTTACCAGAGAGTGACAGAGAAAGGGACAGTGAGAAAATAAGCTGCCAAGTCTGGGACTTGAACTGTAGTTGGTCACGTGGGAATCCAATGCCTTAACCACCACATCACTTGCCAGCCTCTTTTTAAAAGTTTCTTCTATAGAGTGTGTGATTGGAAGTGGGGGTGGTGAGAAACCATCACTCAGGGGAGTGACCACAGCTGCAATCCCTTTTCCTCTATTGTCCTTGTAATTTGGGGCATGTACACACACATGCCCAGTGTGATTTTCGAGCCACTGGGTCCAGGAATCAAACCATTCAGTTGTCCCATGTAGGATCCAATGCCTTACCTCCATGCCACCTGCTGTTCTGGAATCATGTCTGAATAAACATCTCACAAGGTGAATTTTACCTGAATATAAAGAGCTACTGAATTCAGAGGGTTGTTCATCTTGTGTAAATGATCTGTGAGAATTATTTCACTCCAACTAGGAATTCAACTTCCTGCTTTTTGATACACAGAATTTTTCCCTCTTCTCCTCTCTTTTCCTTCCAATATAAAACCTCACCGTTAACCAGTAATGTTAACACTTTCATTTAAGCACTGTTACATTTTCTTTTATTATAATAATAAAAGTTATACATAACAAAACATTTATGTTAACAAGATTTCAGTAACCACTTTTCATATAAGAACTTATTCAAAGATTTAAAAGCAAGTCTTTGTACAAACAATATATTTTTATGTGCATTTGCTGATGCTATTCTGATTTTTAAATTGTCAGTATTGTGTGTTTATAGTTCTTCCAAATCAAGAATTTCCCTGGGGGCATTATTTTATTACTTTCACATTCCTTCCTGCTCTGTTAAGTCTAATGAGGTTTATCTGTCCTTTAGGTGACCTACAAACGAGATCTGTATGCGGCTGAATCGATTATTAAGGGTATGTTTGGCCTTGTGACTGTCAGTTCCTGTGTTTCAAAAATGTAAGCCAGTTGAGAATTTCTAATGACAGTTTAAATCCCAGCAATCTCAGAAGTAGAAATGCCTGTAGGCCACTGAGGTCTCTGATTTGTTTTTTAAAAATAATTACATTTTACTTTGTGTTTCCAACTTGTCACATATCACTTCTTATAGTGTCACATTGGCTTTAATTTTTACAAAGGGAATAGTTTATTAATTTGAGAGAAGCATGGAGAAAATTATAGGATGTTTTTACTATTAGAAGAGACACAGAGAAAACTGATTTTAATGAATTTATAAAGGTGTTATTTCATTTTTACTATTCAGAGGACTTCTTTCCCTCCCGTTAACACTGTGTTTTCTCAAAGTAGAAAGATTGGATTGGATGATTTAATTCCTTATGGTTCTGTCAATTACTACACTTTCATTTTGTACTTTTAGATGTCATGTGCATGTGATAACCTCATTTTTTGTTTTCTTTTTTTTAGTTTTGCTGTAGGGCATGTATGCACTATGGGAGGAGGGAGTAGCCATGATGGCCAGGCCACAGTTGCTTCTCCTCCATTCTCCTCTCTAAATTTTGGGCACACATGCCCATTGTGTTTTTCAAACAGCCAGATTCAGGACTATGAATCTGGCCATGTAGGATTCAACCACTTGAACCTCCACATCATCTGTTGGCTCTAAGTTATTCTGTATCTCTATGACTCTAAGATACCAGCTACACAGAGGTAGTTTATTCAATGTTCAACAAGTATTTATATTAATTGTAATTAACACTGTGCTAGGAATGTGTGAAAGATCTCAAGAGGCATTCTGTTTTGCAGGTGCTTATTAAATCAGATTTTTCAGCCTCAGAGCTCTATAGGCATTTTAAGCTGAATAACCCTTTGCTCTGGGACCTATTTTGTGCATTATAGCTTGTTCAGCAAGCCCGACCTCTACTCACTGCAACTCCTCCCCCTGGTTGTGACAATCAAAGATGTTTCTTGACATTGACAAATGTACCTAGGGCACAAAATTGACTGTAACTGAGAACCAATGTTATAAAATATAAGCAAAATCGAGTGTTCATCCTAATTCTGGAAATGAGTGTAGTACTTTATAGTATGTTAGTAATTAATTTCATTGAAAATACTTTATGGATAGAACTATTTGCACACATTTTGACTGATAGGTGAACTGCTAAATTCAGAGTTTTATTGAGGTAGAAAGCAGAACTGATTTTGAATTCTAAAACATGCATTGGTTTATTGAAAAATTTTGGGAAAACATATTTAACAATCAGTTTGCCTTTATGTTCAGAAACTGAAATCCTTTAACTGATTGGGACAGTATGTTCGAGGGTTGCATTCAAGTTAATTGTCCTTCAAGAATATTTTGTTTCAAACATGAATGTAGTATCACTTGTGTAGCTCTACGTAAACAGATCACCTATAGCTATAAATCAAATTATTGACATGTGTTTACATATTTAACAGGCCATGTGTAAACATGACTCTGAAAAGATGTCTAGACCATGATGGTGGTTGGTTACATTTTCAACACAAAGAAATATAACACTCAGTTTGATTTCTTTATAAAGTCATTTCTGTATTACCTAGGTAAAATCAAAATAATTTCTTTTGCAAATGTTTAGTAATTGGTTCATCTGAGGAGTCTATGAATCACAGTACTTTGACCATATAATATCAGAATAGGCTTCTTACATTGTAAAAGCCTGCATTTAAAGTGTAATTCCAGAAGCTATGGCTTTGGAATCTGCAGATTATTTAATTTTTATTTAGGTAATAGTTAATAGTGCACTACTCATTTATTTTTTATTTTATTTCATTTTATTTTTTTGGAGAGGTTTTCTCTATAGGGCACGTGCGCTCGCCAGACAGACAGAGAGAGACATAAAGACAGAAAGCGAGAAATCACCCCCAGAGGGGATAGTCACGGCGCAATCCCTTCTCCTCCATTCTTCTCTTGGGATCTTGGGCATGCACGCACACGCACCAGCGTGAGTTTTAAGCCACCGGGTCTGGGACGCGAACCGCGGTCGACTACGTGGGAGTCCAGCGACATAGCCATTACGCTATCTGCTGGTTCCCTACTCATTTATTTTTAATAGAGCTTTTTCTTATAGGGTGTGTGCGCTTGGTGGAGAGACAGACAGAAAGTGAAAAATCACTTCCTGGGGGGTTGGCCTTGCTGCAATCCCTTCTCCTCTATTCTTCTCTTGGGATTTTGGGCACATATGCACACACTTCCAGTGTGAGTTTCAAGCCTCTGGGTCGAACCGCAGTTGACCTTGTAGGAGTCCAGTGACATAACCATTACTTCATCTGCTGGTTGCTAGTGTACTACTCTTATTTTTGATTGTTGTTATTATTATTATTATTTTTGTAGAGGTTTTTGCTATAGGGCGCGTGTGCTCACCAGACAGACAAGAGAGAGACAGAGAGACAGAAAGCAAGAAATCACCCCCCAGGGGAGATGGCCACGCCTCAATTCCTTCTCCTCCACTCTCCTCTCTGGATCTTAGGCACGCACGCACACGCGCCTAGCGTGAGTTTTGAGCTACTGGGTCCAGGATGCAAACTGCGGTCGACTGCGTGGGAGTCCAGCACCATTGCCATTACTCTAACTGCTGGTCCCTGTGCTACTTGTTTTTAAATTATTTTGAGACCATTCTATTTAATTATCAGGGGAATAATCTGACTAATTAGATCTGGACAGCTGGTTTACATCAACAAGCTCCAAGAACTGTTACAAATTCTCTGATTTGTTTTTGGTACCTTCACAGGAGATTCCGATGCTACTGGGGTATGTAGAGAACCCCTGCCCAGAACCTCCCTACTCGAAGTGTGATCCTAGTCAAGCAGCATGATGATCACCTGAGAACTTGGAAGTAGAATCTCTGGCCCCACCCCATTCTACCAGAATCTGCATTTTAACAAGAATGCTGGCTGATTATTTATACACTGAATTCCAGAAGCATTCTTTTATGCTATCTTCACAGCATGTTATAGGCCATTTCTTTTTTTTTTTTTTTTTTTGGGGAGGTTTTTGCTATAGGGCACGTATACTCACCAGAAAGACAGACAGAAAGCGAGAAATCGTTCCCCAGGGGGGATGGCCATACTGCAATCCTTTCTACTCCAGGGATCTTGGGCTCTCACGCACATGCGCCCAGTATGAGTTTTTTTTAAGCCACGGGTCCAGGACTTGAACGGCGGTTGACTACATGAGAGTCCAGCGACATAGCCTTTACGCTAACTGCAGTTCCTATGGCCATTTCTTTTAAAATAAAATCATTACATTAAAAGCTTGAAATCTTAATATGCTTTATCAGCTCCACATATTCTTTTGCTTACTCGAGATTACTCCCACCTTCGTTACCTTGTACTAAATATAACATTGGAGACACCAAACAATACCTTGGAGATGGGAAAAGGAAAACTCATGAAATTAAAAGCAATTACATTTTAAAGTAAATAGTATACAGCAGACTTATCTGAGCTATTGATTCACCTGCTTGCCTTTTCCTAGTATGTTAATCAGGTTTATCTAGAGAAATAAAACCTGTAGGATAAATATATAGAAAGATTTCTAGAAAGAGATTTCTGAGGGATTGCTCACATGTTTATGGAGTCTGAGTTCCGTGATCTGCCAAGTGGAAAAACCAAAAAAGCCATTAATGTATAGTTCCAGCCCAAACCTAACCTAACCTGGGTACCGGAGGAGCCATTGCTGTAAGTCCCAGTCAGTCCACAGACCCAGGAACCTGGAGTGTCAATATCCATTTACAGGAGAAGATGGAGTCCCAGCTCCAGAAGAGAATTTGACCTTCCTTTGCCTTTTATATTTGGGTCCTATGGATCAGTTGATGCCAATCTACATTGGTGAAGGCTGTCTTTACTTAGTCTACTGATTCAAATGTTAACATATTCAGAAAACACATTCATAGACATACCTCCAAATAGTCTTTACTAGCTATTACAGGCACCCCTTACCCCAAATTGATACACAAAACTATCAACTAGTACGTGGTCAACATATTTTTCTAGACACTACTACTGTTACCACATTTATAAGGCACTTACTTGAACTGGGCATTGTTTGAAGCATTTTATGTGAATTATCTTTTTATCTCTTACTTCTCTATGATCTCAGTAATGTATGTAGTGTCATTTCCATATGATAGAACATGCGAGGTTTCTGAAGAAAGTATTGATTTGATAAGGACAGAAAATAAATTCTTAACCATATCAGCTTTCTTTCTTTATACTATATATTTTTCCTCCTATCCTTCTTGGCTCTTTTAGTAGAAATTGTTCAGATTCCCATATCGGAAACCTGTGGGATACATGTATTTAGGAATTTGAAATACTTTGTGTTTGCAGAAGCTACTGTGGTACATGATATCTTGGGTTGTTTGGAAAAATGATGACACATTTTTGCATAGAAAAACACGTCATGACTTTCTTGACAACCTATTCTGTGCCATATACCCAGTGGGATTTGGGACCTCACCACAAAATGAAACTTATGATCCCTTAAATGTGTATGTTCAATGTGATCATAAAAATTGGAGAACTCCTAACCAGTTCAAGTTCAGCACTGATTTTGCCTCGAAATTTGTATATGAAACCATTTGTTTAGGATGTAAGAAAGTTTTAGATTTCAGCATTTCCCGTAATGTGGTATGAATCTGTTTTAGATTGTGCTTCAATGAAAGTGAGAAGACTTGTTTGTTTTGTGTGTGTGTGTGTATGTGTGTGTCCTCTAGCACTGAGCTGAGTTGAACTGTGATATGCTACCAAGTACACATTTTACCGAATATTTTACTTTAGCATCTAAGGGCTTTCAGTTATGGTCCTTCTTAACCACTGTACCTGTTTCCAACAGATGCGTATTGAGATCTAGTATATCTGTCTATCATATCTCTTCTCTTTTTGTTTTAAATGTGGAAATGGTATAACATTTAAATGT